GTGGTTTCTTTGCAGCAATTCGACCACGAAGGCCTGATTCACGCAGTCCCCTCTGAACAGTTGATGTTGAGATGTGTCGGTTACTTGAACTCTGTGAAGCATTTATTTGGGCTGCAATTTCTGAGGCTGGTAACTCTAATGAACTTATCCTCTGCAGCAGAGTTAACTCTGGGTCTTCCATTCCTGTGGTGGTCCTCATGAGAGCCAGTTTCATCATAGCGCTTGATGGTTTTTGTGACTGCACTTGAAGAAACTTTCAAAGTTCTTGAAATGTTCCGGATTGACTGACCTTCATATCTTAAAGTACTGATGGACTGTCATTTCTCTTTGCTTATTTGAGCTGTTCTTGCCATAATATGGACTTGGTCTTTTACCAAATAGGGCTATCCTCCTACCTTGTCACAAACACAACTGATTGGCTCAAATGCATTACGAAGGAAAGAAATTCCACAAATTAACTTTTAAGAAGGCACACCTGTTAATTGAAACGCATTCCAGGTGACTACCTCATGAAGCTGGTTGAGAGAATGCCAAGAGTGTGCAAAGCTGTCATCAAGCAAAGGGTGGCTATTTCAAGAATCTCAAATATAAAATATATTTTGATTTGTTTAACACTTTTTTGCTTACTACATGATTCCATATGTGTTATTTCATAGTTTTGATGTCTTCACTATTATTCTACAATGTAGAAAATAGTAAAAATAAAGAAAAACCCTGGAATGAGTAGGTGTGTCCATTTTTATATAATGGCGCCTGAGGGGATGGCTGCCGTTTTACAGGCTCCTAACCAACTGCGCTATTTTATTAGTTTTTTCGCATTGTTTGTAACTTATTTTATTTACTTATTGTGTACATAATGTTGCTGCTACCGTCTCTTATGACCGAAAATAACTTCTGGACATTAGAACAGAGTTTACTCACCCGTCATTTGCGTGAAGAAAATACAGAGAAAAAGGGGGCGGAGTTCGGGCTGCCTTCTGAGAATTCGTAGGCGAGTGAGTAAACTTCCACTACCATCCATTCTATTGGCCAACATGCAATCATTGGAAAACAAAATGGATGATCTACGATCAAGAATATCCTACCAACGAGACATTAAAAACTGTAATATCTTATGTTTCACTGAGTCGTGGATTAACGACGAAACGGTTAATATAGAGCTGGCAGGATTTTCCATGCATCTGCAGGACAGAGAAGCTACATCTGGTAAGATGAGGGGAGGGGGTCTGTGTCTATTTGTCAATAACAGCTGGTGTGTGATGTCTAATATTAAAGAAGTCTCAAGGTATTGCTCGCCTGAGGTAGAGTACCTTATGATAAGCTTTAGATCACCAAGAGAGTTCTCATCTATATTATCCGTAGTAAAAAACTCTAGACCACCTTTACTCCACACACAGAGACGCACACAAAGCTCTCCTTCGCCCTCCATTTGGTAAATCTGACCATAATTATATCCTCCTGATTCCTGCATACAAGCAAAAACTAAAGCAGGAAGTACCAGTGACTCGCTCAATACGGAAGTGGTCAGATGACGCGGATGCTACGCTACAGGACTGTTTTGATAGCACAGACTGGAATATGTTCCGGGATTCATCCAATGGCATTGAGGAGTATACCACCTCAGTCATCGGCTTCATCTATAAGTGCATTGACGACTTCGTCCCCACAGTGATGGTACGTACATATCCCAACCAGAAGCCATGGATTAAAGGCAACATCCGCATCGAGCTAAAGGCTAGAGCTGCCGCTTTCAAGGAGCGGGACACTAATCCGGACGCTTATAAGAAATCCTGCTACGCCCTCAGATGAACCATCAAACAGGCAAAACGTCAATACAGGATTAAGATTGAATCCTACTACACCGGCTCTGACCCTCGTTGGATGTGGCAGGGCTTGAAAACTATTAAGGACTACAAAGGGAAACCCAGCCGCGAGCTGCCCAGTGACGCGAGCCTACCAGACGAGCTGACATTTTCAACCTCTTCCTGACAGAGTCTGTAATACCTACCTGTTTCAAGCAGAACACCATAGTCCCTTTGCCCAAGGAAGCGAAGGTAACCTGCCTAAATGCTTACCACCCCTAGCACTCACGTCGGTAGCCATGAAGTGCTTTGAAAGGCTGGTCATGGCTCACATCAACAGCATTATCCCGGATACCCTAGACCCACTCCAATTCGCATATCGCCCCAACAGATCCATAAACGGTGCAATCTCAATCGCACTCCACACTGCCCTTTCCCACCTGGACAAAAGGAACACCCATGTGAGAATGCTGGTCATTGACTACAGCTCAGCGTTCAACACCATAGTGCCCTCTAAGCTCATCACTAAGCTAAGGACCCTGGGACTTAACACCTCCCTCTGCATCTGGATCCTGGACTTCCTGACGGGCCGCCCCCAGGTGGTAAAGGTAGGCAACAACACATCTGCCACGCTGATCCTCAACACTGGGGCCCCTCAGGTGTGTGTGCTTAGTCCCCTCCTGTACTCCCTGTTCACCCACGACTGCGTGGCCAAACACGACTCCAACACCATCATTAAGTTTGCTGACGACACAACAGACAACAATGAGACAGCCTATAGGGAGGAGGTGAGAGACATAGCAGTGTGGTGCCAGGACAACAACCTCTCCCTCAATGTGAGCAAGACAAAGCAGCTGATCGTGGACTACAGGAAAAGGCGGGCCGAACAGGCCCCCATTAACATCGATGGGGCTGTAGTGGAGCGGGTTGAGAGCTTCAAGTTCCTTGGTGTCCACATCACCAACAAACTATCATGGTCCAAACACACCAAGACAGTCGTGAAGACGGCACAATAACACCTTTTCCCCCTCAGGAGACTGAAAAGATTTGGCATGGGTCGCCAGATCCTCCAAAAGTTATGCAGCTGCACCATCGAGAGCATCCTGACCGGTTGCATCGCCGCCTGGTATGGCAACTGCTTGGCATCTGACCGTAAGGCGCTACAGACAGTAGTGCGTACGGCCCAGTACATCACTGGGGCCAAGCTTCCTGCCATCCAGGACCTATATACTAGGCGGTGTCAGAGGAAAGCCCCAAAAATGGTCAAAGACTCCAGTCACCCAAGTCATAGACTGTTCTCTCTGCTCCCGCACAGCAAGCGGTACCAGGGCGCCAAGTCTAGGACCAAAAGGCTCCTTAACAGCTTCTACCCCCAAGCCATAAGACTGCTGAACAATTAATCAAATGGCCACCCATATTATTTACATTGTTTTTACACTGCTGCTCCCCGCTGTCTATTATCTATGCATAGTCACTTTACCCCTACCTACATGTACAAATTACCTTGACCAACCTGTACCCCCACACATTGACTCGGTACCGGTACCCCCTGTATATAGCCTCGTTATTGTTATTTTACAGTGTTACTTTTTATTATTTTTAACTTTAGTTTATTTGGTCAATATTTTCTTAACTCTTTCTTGAACTGCATTGTTGGTTAAGGGCTTGTATGTAAGCATTTCACGGGCATAGTTTTGATGTCTTCACTATTATTCTACAATGTACAATTCAACCAAATTCAGTAAAAAATTAGTAAAATGTGCACACAGAGGACATTTTTATTCCCCAAAAGTCTTCCAGCCTAGACAGCAATGTTAATCTCCTATTCTTTTATATTGCTCACTTGGTTTGTTTGGCTCATAACTCAACAAATAAACTGTTGATGAACTGTTAAGAGGACACTACAACTTCAAATGGATTTGATGCCAGAGATTCTGAAATTACAAGGTGAGATTGATCAATCTTTCAAAAAAAATTGGGTGCCTGCAACGTCACTTCCTGGAGTAGCTCAAGATGCGCATGTTATGGTTGCGCTCCTCTTGCTCTGACGTTGCATTCATCAACCAATGGTTGCGTGCCACGTCATAACATATGAGTTTAGCTGATACTTAAAATAATTATCCAGGCGTTGTAAGATTTGGCAGGCGTCAGCGACACCTGACTTCATGACACTGACTTCATGAGACGCCATCTTAATCGACTTAATTTGGCTACAATGCGCTATTGAGTCTTCACACAGGAATGCATGGTGTCACGTGATCAATGGCTTTGTCCATTCATATTTACAGTCATTTAATTATGTTCATGTAAATACAGCCAATTATGTTTGTCTCCTCGCATCTCAGCTCAAGAGGTTTCCAGTTCTATTCCATGTGTACAGATCTTATTATTGAGGGAATTGTCCATACAGGCAATTCATTTAGGAATTTGTGGGCTACATGTTTTGAGTCTTTGTTGTACTAATTGATTTGACAGAAAGGGATCCTAATGAAAAGACAATGAAGTGTTGTTTTGCTGTGTGTTGACCTGATATGTTTTTATTCATTAGTTGAAAAGATAAGACACTGAAAAGAACCTTGTCATCAACATACTTTGGGTAATGCAATAGCTCCCTCTGCTGTATTTTGTCTGAAATAACACCTCAAGAGTGCTGCGACATGCATGTTTTGGTTGTATTCAATCATTATTGCTTAAGAGACAACACAAAGAATAATTTATGAAATCAATGAAACTATTTGGATTAACAGATATTGCTTCTCAGATATTGTGATATTTAATTGTGGCCTTTCTAGCACTTTCAAATGGGAGATTCCACAGGACTTAGAAAATATTTCAAGTTCCAACTTCAAACTCCACTTACATCACTGGAGATTCAAGAGGAAGAGTTTAAAGGTGGCCTTTGTCAGACACAGGTAGAACTACTCGTTTTCTGCCACCTGCATTCTCTAAATAAAAGGCCAGAGACGTTTTCATATTAGTCCATGTTTATTGAGAAAATAGGATCAGTCACACTGCTGTTATATTGAAGACTACCAATATATTTTCCAGGGTATCCATGGGGTTACTGGCCCAACGCCAGGTAACCTAGTGCTTAAGAGCGTTGGGCCAGTAACCAAAAGGTTGCTGGTTCAAATCCCTAAGCATACTAGGTGAAAAATCTATCTGTGCCATTGAGCAAGGCACTCAACCCTAGTTGCTCTGGATAAGAGCATCTGCTAAATTGTAAAATATCCATGAAAACCTTTCCCTTCCATTTACAGATATCAATTATTTACAACTAGATTATGCAACTATGTGCGTTACTGTACACATTGCCTCATCCCATCTGTGTGTGTTGTCGCCAACTTCTATCATTCATGGTTATGCAATAAAAAGAGTTGGCTGCAGCACATACAGTAAGTAGCCTATGGGATAAGGTTAGTGTACATCAGAATCAAATGATTTTGTGATTCGATGTGTCCACATAGAATAGGATTCATTTTGTTCAACTTCTAAATGGGCAGACACTTTTTTTATTTTGAGAGACTTTTCTTTAAAATCCCCAGATATGTCTGCTTTAAAATGCAAAACATTGAGATACATTCGTCATAGACTTTTTACTTTTATCCTGCACCATTTCCATCATTTTGTATGCTGCAAATGGTGTTGGAGCGAAGTCACACAGGGTTAACTACTGGGTATGAGCATGACCAAATCTGACTAGTCATGGTGTGTAGAATCCCAGTTCCTGCCATTACCACTCCAACCTTAATATCTTATAGTACATAGGGGTTGTAGGAACATCATGCATTTTCATTTTCTTGTATTAAATCAGCACTAGACATCTCATTTCATTGTCACCCCCCCAGCTCAGACAGTCCTGTCTTGTCACACAATCCATACAACCCATAACACCTCCGAACAGGCACAATCAATCAGCATGCACTCAATGAACATCACTAAAATAAGCAATTATTTTTCAACAAGTCAATGATGACAATCCAGGAAACGGTGAAAGGCCTGCTAGGTTTGTATAGCCGATAACTATGAGAATAGCTTGGTAATTTTGTCTTCCCTGCTAGTCATCCCAATGAAAAATAGTCAGACCCGTTTTGCAAATAATCTCATGAAGTATGTGTGGCAAATACAGAAACTAAAATTAAGTTCCAATCAATTTTATCACCCACATATTCAGTATATCAGTGCTTTTCAGTTAAATGTCAAGACATTCTTGCCTCCTCCCTTTCCCTAGCATTGAAAAACAATAAAAAATTATAAAGGGACAATTAAAGGTAAGCAACTGTAGATTGATTATTTTCAATGGGATAATGAATGAAAACAACCAATGTGTGAAGCAGTATGTGAGCTATTCCTTATAAATGACACCTAGCTTAGCTTTATCAACTAAGAACTCATTCATCATGACACTAGACCACATGTACCAACTACTCCTCCTTACTCTTTGTACTGCTTCCGTTAGCATGCCCATTCGTGTGCCCATTGGCATTAGCATTAGCCCCATTAGTGCTCATCTTCCCCTCGGCAGTCAGTCGACGAATGCAGTCGAGGGGGCCCTTCCCTTCGAGTACCGAGGGGTTGCGGTAAGACCCGCCAATGCGGTCCCAAAGGGTAAAGTACTGGCCATAGTTGACGTCGAAGAAGAGGTGGTGGTCCGTGTGGTGGGCTGCCCCGTTGACCACCTCCTGCAGCGGTCTGGGCACGCGGTAGTCGCCGTCGTGGATGGACACAGTCCAGATGTTGACGAAGATGTAGAGGGCCAGGTAGAGCACCTTGTGCAGAGGGAAGAGGAAGGGGTAGATGTGGTAGGGCAGACCCTGCAGGAAGCCATCAAGCGGGTGGAAGGCGTGGCTGGCAAACGGGGTGGGGATCTTCCACACATGGTGCGGCTTGTGGAAGTGCTGAGGGGAGGGAACACGCCACAGAGATGGTCAATTCAAGTGAACCAGATTCAAAAGGAACTGTATTTAGAACATATTTGCTGAGGAATAGATAGCATATAAAACATATGGCCCGTTTGATCACTTTCAAGTGTGCCAGCGATTGAGGATAGGACCAGCAGACGATAACACACACTGGTACCGAAGACATAGCACTGGCTTTGTTCTAGCTCCGTACATTACATACACAAGTACTTAGCAGCTACATGTATGCCAAAAAATTGAGCGGAAAAACTGCACATTTGTTAATCAACATTAAGACAACGTCAACTGCCTTAATCTCAATAAGACAAATTAGCAGAACGATATGACTTAATATACAGGATTTTTCTGTCATTGTGGACTGATCTGTAACTGTGCATCTCCAACATCACTTCTACAGCAACAATCCACTTTCAATTGACAGTGAAGGGACCTACCCAGTACCACACTTCCCCATTGGTAACAAGACTTTGTAATGCTCACCTTGTAAATACTCTTATGGTGAAGAAACCGATGAATCCAATAGATGCACCCGTCAGTGAATAACAGGAAGGAAATCATGCTGAGAAGCACAAAGGGCCAGCCTGAAAAAACAAACCACCATTAGTATCATAATGAGAATACCGTTAGACAAAGTTGCCTAACAAAATGAACAGTATAAACATTACATTACAGTCCCAGCATCGGTGAACGCATTGTCTTACCCATGGGAGATTCTTCGACGTTGTCATAGAGCTTGCTGTATCCTCTGACCTCAAGAAAAAATAACGCCACAGTGGGTACACTGATTATGGGTAGCGAGGTCATGGCGTATTTGACCTCCCGTCGCACCTGGTTCTGAGGACCAACAATGATCTGAGATCAGGCATCAATTCAAATAAATAAATAAAACACATACTGCATATATATACAGTGGGGAGAACAAGTATTTGATACACTGCCGATTTTGCAGGTTTTCCTACTTACAAAGCATGTAGAGGTCTGTAATTTTTATCATAGGTACACAGACGAAATCCAAAAATCCAGAAAATCACATTGTATGATTTTTAAGTAATTAATTTGCATTTTATTGCATGACATAAGTATTTGATCACCTACCAACCAGTAAGAATTCCGGCTCTCACAGACCTGTTAGTTTTTCTTTAAGAAGCCCTCCTGTTCTCCACTCATTACCTGTATTAACTGCACCTGTTTGAACTCGTTACCTGTATAAAAGACACCTGTCCACACACTCAATCAAACAGACTCCAACCTCTCCACAATGGCCAAGACCAGAGAGCTGTGTAAGGACATCAGGGATAAAATTGTAGACCTGCAAAAGGCTGGGATGGGCTACAGGACAATAGGCAAGCAGCTTGGTGAGAAGGCAACAACTGTTGGCGCAATTATTAGAAAATGGAAGAAGTTCAAGATGACGGTCAATCACCCTCGGTCTGGGGCTCCATGCAAGATCTCACCTCGTGGGGCATCAATGATCATGAGGAAGGTGAGGGATCAACCCAGAACTACACAGCAGGACCTGGTCAATGACCTGAAGAGAGCTGGGACCACAGTCTCAAAGAAAACCATTAGTAACACACTACGCCGTCATGGATTAAAATCCTGCAGCGCACGCAAGGTCCCCCTGCACAAGCCAGCGCATGTCCAGGCCCGTCTGAAGTTTTGCAATGACCATCTGGATGATCCAGAGGAGGAATGGGAGAAGGTCATGTGGTCTGATGAGACAAAAATAGAGCTTTTTGGTCTAAACTCCACTCGCCGTGTTTGGAGGAAGAAGAAGGATGAGTACAACCCCAAGAACACCATCCCAACCGTGAAGCATGGAGGTGGAAACATCATTCTTTGGGGATGCTTTTCTGCAAAGGGGACAGGACGACTGCACTGTATTGAGGGGAGGATGGATGGGGCCATGTATCGCGAAATCTTGGCCAACAACCTCCTTCCCTCAGTAAGAGCATTGAAGATGGGTCGTGGCTGGGTCTTCCAGCATGACAACGACCCGAAACACACAGCCAGGGCAACTAAGGAGTGGCTCCGTAAGAAGCATCTCAAGGTCCTGGAGTGGCCTAGCCAGTCTCCAGACCTGAACCCAATAGAAAATCTTTGGAGGGAGCTGAAAGTCCGTATTGCCCAGCGACAGCCCAGAAGGTCTGTATGGAGCAGTGGGTCAAAATCCCTGCTGCAGTATGTGCAAACCTGGTCAAGACCTACAGGAAACTTATGATCTCTGTAATTGCAAACAAAGGTTTCTGTACCAAATATTAAGTTCTGCTTTTCTGATGTATCAAATACTTATGTCATGCAATAAAATGCAAATGAATTACTTAAAAATCATACAATGTGATTTTCTGGATTTTTGTTTTAGCTTCCGCCTCTCACAGTTGAAGTGTACCTATGATAAAAATTACAGACCTCTACATGCTTTGTAAGTAGGAAAACCTGCAAAATCGGCAGTGTATCAAATACTTGTTCTCCCCACTGTGTATATATATATATATATATATATATATACACACACACACACACACACATCTACTTTGTGCATGACACAAGGAATTTTTCCAACAATTGTTTACAGACAGATTCTTTCACTTATAATTCACTGTATCACAATTCCAGTGGGTCAGAAGTTTACATACACTAAGTTGACTGTGCCTTTAAACAGCTTGGAAAAGTCCAGAAAAGTATGTCATGGCTTTAGAAGCTTCTGATAGGCTAATTTACATCATTTGAGTCAATTGGAGGTGTACCTGTGGATGTATTTCAAGGCCTACCTTCAAACTCAGTGCCTCTTTGCTTGACATCGTGGGAAAATCAAAAGAAATCAGCCAAGACCTCAGAAAAGTAATTGTAGACCTCCACAAGTCTGGTTCATCCTTGGGAGCAATTTCCAAACGCCTGAAGGTACCACGTTCATCTGTACAAACAATAGTATGCAAGTATAAACACCATGGGACCACTCAGCCGTCATACCGCTCAGGAAGGAGACGCGTTCTGTCTCCTAGAGATGAACGTACTTTGGTGCGAAAAGTGCAAATCAATCCCAGAACAACAGCAAAGGACCTTGTGAAGATGCTGGAGGAAACAGGTACAAAAGTATCTATATCCACAGTAAAACGAGTCCTATATCGACATAACCTGAAAGGCCGCTCAGCAAGGAAGAAGCCACTGCTCCAAAACTGCCATAAAAAAGCCAGACTACGGTTTGCAACTGCACATGGGGACAAAGACCGTACTTTTTGGAGAAATGTCCTCTGGTCTGATGAAACAAAAATAGAACTGTTTGGCCATAATGACCATCATTATGTTTGGAGGAAAAAGGGGGGCTTGCAAGCCAAAGAACACCATCCCAACCGTGAAGCACGGGGGTTGCAGCATCATGCTGTGGGGGTGCTTTGCTGCAGGAGGGACTGGTGCACTTCAGAAAATAGATGGCATCATGAGGAAGGAAAATTATATGGATATATTGAAGCAACATCTCAAGACATCAGTCAGGAAGTTAAAGCTTGGTCGCAAATGGGTCTTCCAAATGGACAATGACCCCAAGCATACTTCCAAAGTTGTGGCAAAATGGCTTAAGGACAACAAAGTCAAGGTATTGGAGTGGCCATCACAAAGCCCTGACCCCAAGAAACACTAGCAATGGACATTAGACCGTTGGAAATGTGTCCTTTGGTCTGGAGTCCAAATTGGAGATTTTTGGTTCCAACAGCTGTGTCTTTGTGAGACGCGATGTGGGTGAACGGATGATCGCCGCATGTGTAGTTCCCACCGTAAAGCATGGATGAGGAGGTGTTATGCTGTGGGGGTGCTTTGCTGGTGACACTGTTTGTGATTTATTTAGAATTCAATGCACACTTAACCAGCATGGCTACTACAGTGATACGCCATCTCATCTGGTTTGGGCTTTGTGGGACTATCATTTGTTTGTCAACAGGACAAAGACCCAACACACCTCCAGGCTGTGTAAGGGCTATTTTACCAAGAAGGAGAGTGATGAGTGCTGCATCAGACGACCTGGCATCCACAATCCCCCGACCTCAACCCAATTGAGATGGTTTGGGATGAGTCAGACGGCAGAGTGAAGGAAAAGCAGCCAACAATGGCTCAGCATATGTGGGAACTCCTTCAAGACTGTTGGAAAAGCATTCCAGGTGAAGCTGGTTGAGAGAATGTCAAGAGTGTGCAAAGCTGTCATCAAGGGAAAGGGTGGCTATTTGAAGAATCTCAAATATAAAGTATATTTTGATTTGTATAACACTTTTTTGGTAACTACATGATTCCATGTGTTATTTCATAGTTTTGATGTCTTCACTATTATTCTACAATGTAGAAAATAGTAACAATAAAGAAAAAACCTTGAATGAGTAGGTGTGTCCAAACTTTTGACTGGTACTGTATGTATGTATGTATGTATGTATGTATGTATGTATGTATGTATGTATGTATGTATGTATGTATGTATGTATGTATGTATGTATGTATGTATGTATGTATGTATGTATGTATGTATGTATGTATGTATGTATGTATAGTGAGGGAAAAAAGTATTTGATCCCCTGCTGATTTTGTACGTTTGCCCACTGACAAAGAAATGATCAGTCTATACTTTTAATGGTAGGTTTATTTGAACAGTGAGAGACAGAATAACAACAAAAACATCCAGAAAAGCGCATGTCAAAAATTTTATAAATTGATTTGCATTTTAATGAGGGAAATAAGTATTTGACCCCCTCTCAATCAGAAAGATTTCTGGCTCCCAGGTGTCTTTTATAAAGGTAACGAGCTGAGATTAGGAGCACACTCTTAAAGGGAGTGTTCCTAATCTCAGCTTGTTACCTGTATAAAAGACACCTGTCCACAGAAGCAATCAATCAATCAGATTCCAAACTCTCCACCATGGCAAAGACCAAAGAGCGCTCCAAGGATGTCAGGGACAAGATTGTAGACCTACACAAGGCTGGAATGGGCTACAAGACCATCGTCAAGCAGCTTGGTGAGAAGGTGACAACAGTTGGTGCGATTATTCGCAAATGGAAGAAACACAAAAGAACTGTCAATCTCCCTCTGCCTTGGGCTCCATGCAAGATCTCACCTCGTGGAGTTGCAATGATCATGCGAACGGTGAGGAATCAGCCCAGAACTACACGGGAGGATCTTGTCAATGATCTCAAGGCAGCTGGGACCATAGTCACGAAGAAAACAATTGGTAACACACTACACGGTGAAGGACTGAAATCCTGCAGCGCCCGCAAGGTCCCCCTGCTCTAGAAAGCACATATACAGGGCCGTCTAAAGTTTGCCAATGAACATCTGAATGATTCAGAGGAGAACTGTGTGAAAGTGTTGTGGTCAGATGAGACCAAAATCGAGCTCTTTGGCATCAACTCAACTCGCCGTGTTTGGAGGAGGAGGAATGCTGCCTATGACCCCAAGAACACCATCCCCACCGTCAAACATGGAGGTGGAAACATTATGCTTTGGGGGTGTTTTTTCTGCTAAGGGGACAAGACAACTTCACCGCATCAAAGGGACGATGGACAGGGCCATGTACCGTCAAATCTTGGGTGAGAACCTCCTTCCCTCAGCCAGGGCATTGAAAATGGGTCGTGGATGGGTATTCCAGCATGACAATGACCCAAAACACACGGCCAAGGCAACAAAGGAGTGGCTCAAGAAGAAGCACATTAAGGTCCTGGAGTGGCCTAGCCAGTCTCCAGACCTTAATCCCATAGAAAATCTGTGGAGGGAGCTGAAGGTTCGAGTTGCCAAACCTCAGCCTCGAAACCTTAATGACTTGGAGAAGATCTGCAAAGAGGAGTGGGACAAAATCCCTCCCGAGATGTGTGCAAACCTGGTGGCCAACTACAAGAAACGTCTGACCTCTGTGATTGCCAACAAGGGTTTTGCCACCAAGTACTAAGTCATGTTTTGCAGATGGGTCAAATACTTATTTCCCTCATTAAAATGCAAATCAATTTATAACATTTTTGACATGCGTTTTTCTGGATTTTGTTGTTGTTATTCTGTCTCTCACTGTTCAAATAAACCTACCAGTAAAATTATAGACTGATCATGTCTTTGTCAGTGGGCAAACGTACAAAATCAGCAGGGGATCAAATACTTTTTTCCCTCACTGTATGTATGTATGTATGTATGTACAGTGCTATAAAAAAGTATTTGCCGAGATGGGTCCCATTATGCCTGGCGAAAACCACTGCATTCCACAGTAAGAACATCATACCAAAGGTCAAGCATGGTGGTGGTGGTGTGATGGTTTGTGGATGCTTTGCTGCCTCAGGACCTGGACGACTTGCCTTAATAGAAGGAACCATGAATTCTGTATCAGAGAATTCTACAAGAGAACGTCAGACCATCCGTCTGTGAGCTGAAGCTGAAGCACAGCTGGGTCATGCAGCAAGACAATGATCCAAAACACACAATCAAGTCTACATGAAAATTGCTAAAAAGCAACAAATTGGAAGTTTTGGAATGGCATAGTCAAAGTCCAGACCTAATCCCAATTGAGATGTTGTGGCAGGACTTGAAACGAGCAGTTCATGCTTGAAAACCCACACGTCACTGACTTAAAGCAGTTCTGCATGGAAGAGTGGGCCAAAATTCCTCCACAGCGACGTGAGAGACTGATCAACAACTACAGGAAGCATTTGGTTGGAGTCATTGCAGCTAAAGGTGGCACAACCAGTTATTGAGTGTAAGGGGGCAATTACTTTTTCACACAGGGGAATTGGGTGTTTCATAACTTTGTTTATGAAATAAATATGTAATTGTTGTGTTATTTGTTCACTTATGTTCCCTTTATCTAATATTAGGTTTTGGTTGAAGATCTGATAACATTCAGTATCACAAATATTTAGCAAAAGTAGAGAAAATTAGAAAGGGGGCAAATACTTTTTCATAGCACTGTATGTATGTATGTATGTATGTATGTATGTATGTATGTATGCATGTATGTATACAGTTGAAGTATGGAGTTTACATACACCTTTGCAAATACACTTAAACTCAGTTTTTCACAATTCCTGACATTTAATCCTAGTAAAAATCCCCTGTCTTAGGTCAGTTAGGATCACTTTATTTTAAGAATGTGAAATGTCAGAATAATAGTATAGAGAATTATTTATTTCAGCTTTTATTTCTTTCATCACATTCCCAGTGGGTCAGAAGTTACACTCAATTAGTATTTGGTAGCATTGCCTTTAAATTGTTTAACTTGGGTCAAATGTTTCGGGTAGCCTTCCACAAGCTTCCCACAATATGTTGGGTGAATTTTGGCCCATTCCTCCAGACAGAGCTGGTGTAACTGAGTCAGGTTTGTAGGCCTCCTTGCTCGCACACGCTTTTTCAGTTCTGCCCACACATTTTCTATAGGATGGAGGTCAGGGCTTTGTGATGGCTACTCCAATACCTTGACTTTGTTGTCCTTAAGCCATTTTGCCACAACTTTTGAAGTATGCTTGGGGTCATTGTCCATTTGGAAGACCCATTTGCGACCAAGCTTTAACTTCCTGACTGATGTCTTGAGATGTTGCTTCAATATATCCACATAATTTTCCTTCCTCATGATGCAATCTATTTTGTAAAGTGCAACAGTCCCTCCTGCAGCAAAGCACCCGCACAGCATGATGATGCCACCCCCGTGCTTCATGGTTGGGATGGTGTTCTTTGGCTTGCAAGCAACCCCCTTTTTCCTCCAAACATAACAATGGTCATTATGGCCAAACAGTTCTATTTTTGTTTCATCAGACCAGAGGACATTTCTCCAAAAAGTACGATCTTTGTCCCCATGTGCAGTTGCAAACCGTAGTCTGGCTTTTTTATAGCGGTTTTGGAGCAATGGCTTCTTCCTTGCTGAGCGGCCTTTCAGGTTATGTCGATATATGAAACGTTTTACTGTGCATATAGATACTTTTGTACCTGTTTCCTCCAGCATCTTCACAAGGTCCTTTGCTGTTGTTCTGGGATTGATTTGCACTTTTCGCACCAAAGTACGTTCATCTCTAGGAGACAAACACGTCTCCTTCCTGAGCGGTATTACATTTACATTTTAGTCATTTAGCAGACGCTCTTATCCAGAGCGACTTACAGGAGCAATTAGGGTTAAGTGCCTTGCTCAAGGGCACAGACAGATTTTTCACCTAGTCGGCTCGGGGATTAGAACCAGCGACCTCTCGGTTACTGGCACAACGCTCTTAACCACTAAGCTACCAGCCGCCGGTATGACGGCTGCGTGGTCCCATGGTGTTTATACTCAGGCACTATTGTTTGTACAGATGAACGTGGTACCTTCAGGCATTTGGAAATTGCTCCCAAGGATGAACCAGACTTGTGGAGGTCTACAATATTTTTTCTGAGGTCTTGGCTGATTGCTTTTGATTTTCCCACGATGTCAAGCAAAGAGGCACTGAGTTTGAAGGTAGGCCTTGAAATTCATCCACAGGTACACCTCCAATTGACTCAAATGATGTCAATTAGCCTATCAGAAGCTTCTAAAGCCATGACATCATTTTCTGGAATTTTCCAAGCTGTTTAAAGGCACAGTCAACTTGTATGTAAACTCACAATAATATTTATAAACACTATATACACTTTCACTGACACACTACACTGACAGTGCAAGATAGGGTCAGTGCAGATAGTCCGGGTAACCATTTAATTAACAATTTATCAGTCTTATGGCTATTTAGCAGTCTTATGGCTTGGGGGTAGAAGCTGTCTCGGAGCCTGTTGGTCCGAGAGCCAATGCTCTGGTACCGTTTGCCGGACGGTAGCTGAGTGAACAGTCTATGGCTTGGGTGGCTGGAGTCTTTGGCTATTTTTCAGGCCTTCCTCTGACCCTGCCTGTTATAGAGGTCCTGGGTGGCAGGGAGCTCGGCCCCAGTGATGTACTGGGCTATCCACACCACCCTCTGTAGTGCTTTGTGGTCGAGGATGGTGCACTTGCCATACCAAGCAGTGATGCAGCCAGTCAAGATGTTCTCGATGGTACAGCTGTATAACTTTTTGAGGATCCGAGAGCCCATGCCAAAGCCTTTCAGCCTCCTGCGGGGAAGAGGCGCTGTCGTGCCCTCTTCACAACTGTGCGGGTGTGTGTGGACCATGTTAAGTCCTTAGTGATGTGCACGCCAAGGAACTTGAAGCTTTCGACCCGGTCCACTACAGCCCCGTCGATGTGGATGGGGGTTTGCTATCCCCTCTTTCTCCTGTAGTCTACGATCAGCTCCTTGGTCTTACTGACGTTGAGGGAGAGGCTCTGTGTATGGCTTTTGACCACTTCTTTGGATTCGTCATGTCTTACTCATTGTTAGAAAAAAGTTTGGTCCAAATCGGATGTTAGGTACTATAATTATTTAATAATTGCCAATTTGGGTGCAATCAATTACCTTAATTTCTCAAAGATCAAATTATATTTCAACAAAATAATGTTGCAGGAATGCTAATCGTATCTGTTTTTAACAACAGAAATGATTTCAGATCAATCTTAGATGGTGGGTATCGAAATCCTCTTTCTTGTGTTTGAGGTGGAACGACCCAGCTGTAGTCTTTGAACAGCATTCTCACATAGTTATTTCCCCTCTTGTCCAGGTGGGAGAGGGCAGTGTGAAGTGCAATTAAGATTGCATCACTGGTGGATCTGTTGGGGCGGTATGCAAATTGGAGTGGGTCCAGGGTGTCTGGGAATAAAAGCACTGTATTTGGGACAAATCATTCACTAAACCTCAACTAAATCTTGTAATGAATAATGTGGAAAATGAGAAAGTTGAGGTGACTAAACTGCTTGGAGTAACCCTGGATTGTAAACTGTCATGGTCAAAAGATGTTGATACAACAGTAGCTAAGATGGGGAGAAGTCTGCCCATAATAAAGCGCTGCTATGCCTTCTTAACAACACTATCAACAAGGCAGGTCCTACAGACCCTAGTTTTGTCGCACCTGGACTACTGTTCAGTCATGTGGTCATGTGCCACAAAGAGGGACTTAGGAAAATTGCAATTGGCTCAGAACAGGGCAGCACGGCTGGCCCTTAATTGTACACGGAGAGCTAACATTAATTATATGCATGTCAATCTCTCATGGCTCAAAGTGGAGGAGAGATTGACTTCATCACTACTTGTTTTTGTAAGAAGTGTTGACAAGCTGAATGCACCGAGCTGTCTGTTTAAAACTACTAGCACACAGCTCAGACAGCCATGCATACCCCACAAGACATGCCACCAGAGGTCTCTTCACAATCCCCAAGTCCAGAACAGACTATGGGAGGCGCACAGTACTACATAGAGCCATGACTACATGGAACTCTATTCCACATCAGGTAACTGATGCAATCAGTAGATCAGATTTAACAAACGGATAAAAATACACCTTATGGAACAGCGGGGACTGTGAAGAGACACACACAGGTACAGACACGCATAGGCACACGGGCGCTAGCACACGCACTCTACACACACGTACATTGTAATATTGTTGTATGGTGGTATCATTCATTTTGTGTTGTAGATATGTAGTGGTGTAACAATGTTATATGATGTATTGTTTTATCTTTTGTTTTATGTGTAATGTAAGTGCCTTAATGTGTTTGGACCTCAGGAAGAGTAGCTGCTGCCTTAGCAGCAGCTAATGAAGATCCCTAATAAATACAAATGGTGTTGATATGGGTTATGACCAGCCTTTCAAAGCTCTTCATAATTACAGATGGGAGTATTACAGGGTGATAGTCATTTATGCAGGTTACCTTGGAGTTCTTGGGAAGAGGGCCAATGGTGGTCAGCTTGAAACATGTTGGGATTACAGACTGGGACAGGGAGAGATTGAAAATGATCGTGACGACACTTGCCAGCTGATCTGCACATTCCTTGAGAACTCGCCCTGGTATTCAGTCTGGCCCGGCAGCCTTGCGAGTGTTAACCTGTTTAAAAGTTTTACTCACATTGGCCACCGAGAGCGAGATCACAAAGTCATCCGGAACAACAGGGGCTTTCCCGCAAGACTCAGTGTTGTATTCCTTGAAGCCAGCATAAAAGGCATTTTGCTCATTTGGGAGTTCTGCATCACTGAGTATCTCACGGCTGGGTTTCCCTTTTTTAAAATCTGTTATCGTCTGCAAGCCCTGCCACATACGACGAGCGTCAGAGCAGGTGTAACAGGATTCCACCTTCCTCCTATATTGTCCTTTTGCATGATTGATGTCTCGTTGGAGGTTGTAGCGGGCTTTCTTGTATGCGTCCATGTCCGTGTCCTGTTCCTTGTAAGCGGTATCTCTAGCCTTTTGCCCAACGCGGAATCCATGGTTTTTGGATACGTTCGTATAGTCACTGTGGGGACGATGTCTTCTATGCACTTATTGAGGAAGCCCGTGACTGATGTGGTAAACTCCTCAATGCCATCGGATGAATCCCAGAACGTATCCCAGTCTGTACTAGCAAAACAGTCCTGTAACCCCGTGTCTTCTTCATCGGACCACTTCTGTATTGAGCACGCCACCAGTACTTCCTGTTTAAGCTTTTGTTTGTAAACGGGAAGCAGGAGAATAGAGTCGTGGTCAGATTTGCTGAAGGGAGGACGAGGGAGGTCCTTGTATGCGTTTCTGTGGGTAGAATAAAAGTGGTCTAGAGTTTTAGCGCCTCTAGTGACGCAGGAGACGTGTTTGTAGAAGTGAGGTTTTAAGTCTCCCCGCAATAGTTAGTTTAAGTCTCCACCCACCAGAAACACTTTTTCTAGGTGAGCGGTTTCTTGTTTGTTTATGGCCCCATACAGTTTGTTAAGTGCCAAAGTGGCGTTGGTTTGTGGTGGGATGTAGACAGCCGTGATAATTACGGTATATAAAAGGGTCTCCAACTCACCATGGTGTAATTTATAGCAGGTGAGCAAAAGCTTGAGATTTCCTTCACATTGGAAGTAGCGCACCAGTTGTTTATGAAGAGGCACACCCCTCCCCCTTTGGACTTGCCCGAGGCTACCTTCGTCCGATCGTGCCGCTGCATGGAGAAACCATTGAGTTCTACGTACATAGGTCATCCAGCCACGTCTCTGCAAGGCATATAATATTGCAGCTTTTCAAGTCTCTCTGATAGGAGACTCTTGAACGAAGCTCATCCATCTTATTCTCGAGTGACTGGACATTTGCCAATAGAACGGAGGGGAGTGCCGGTGATTTTATTTTGGTCTCAGTCTCACCAGGAGGTCGTCTTGTCTACCGCGTCTACACCTGCAGCGTTTTGGTAGCCCATGGAACAAAGGAATGGGGTCCGGTATGAACAAGGGAACAGCTGAGTCAGAATTGAATTTCAGATTTGAAGTCGAAAGCGAGGTTAGTAACTGTTGATCTGATGTCTAGAAGTGCTTGGTGGTTATATGTGATAATAGTATGAACTTTCTGTACAAAAAAAGTATAGATAAACAAAAAAAAGTCACTAAATAACAAAGTCGGGTTGAAACTTGTAAGATGTCGCCCTTCTCCGTCGGCGCCATCATTGAGAAAACACTTGGGAAGAAAGAATAGTAACCAAGAAGCAAATGCCAACTCAAGTAGTAGCCTAACCTTACATTATGTCAATAAACCTTCCTCGATGCTATTCATAAATATATAGTTTGTCGCAGTTCAACTGCATACAACTATATTGTGGCCTGGTCCCAGATATTTTTGTGTTCTCTTGCCAAGTCCTCCAGGTGTTGTGACGTTTAACAAGATCTGGGACCTGGCTACAAGTATTGAGTATTATAAAGAAGGAAATACCTTTAGAAACTGTGGATGTTTCATGAGGTTGTGGTCAAAGATGAAGTGGTAGCTCAGCCACCCCAGGCCCAGGTAGAGGACCGCGGCTCCCAGGTTGGTGACTACCAACAGGCTGATGATCTGGCGCAGCGCCCCGTCTTCAGGCCACGACGACGGGTACACGTAGGGGGTGAGGACATAGTGGTCGGCGACATTCAGCACGAGATCCATGTCGAATCTGTCAAGTTGATAAGTAATGGCTTTGAGCAGAGCCTTCTAGACTCCTCCTCTCAAGGAGCCTATCCTACCCACAAATCACAAGTGACAAAAAATTCTGCAACATCTGCAAATTTCTCACTTCTCAAAACCAGAGAGAAGGCTCAGACAGAGAGAAGGCTCAGGTTTTGAGAAGTGAGGAATTCGCAGATGTAGCAGACAATGTCACAAATGATTTGTGGGTAGAATAGACTCCTTGAGAGTGACACATCACATGTAAACTGGACATGGCTTATGGATAGGGTGGGTAGTCAACTAGTCAATGTTAGATCTATAGGCTTTAACAATCATATTTTCATCATACAGATACAGTAGTGTGTTACTAGAACTCAGATAATGTACAGTAAATGACAATATGATAAATGGTAGGCAGGCCTAGTACTGTAGGTGTTTTTTGTGGAATGCTACTGATAGTACTTTTTAAAGCAGTGACATTTGGGAATACCTTGGGGTAAACTACATTAGTCTTTCACTAGGCAGTCTTTTCGGTGTCCCGGCACTACCAAAGGGTTTCCAAGAATGGGAATTCTTATTTGGGTACAGGCTAGTCATTGTAGATCCTTGGTATTTAATAAAGATGATAGCATGCATATCCCATATGTTCGGTCAGAAGATACATGCCATTACGTTAAATTTTTTGGAATACCAAGGTTCTATATCGTGGAGCTCCACCCATAGGGGAGCTCTGCTCCTATTGGTTTACCCCGCTGCCTAGGCAGCGAACAGGCTGAGACAAAATTATGCACACACCTGCAGTTAGAGTTACTAGATAAGTGGCTTGGGGCCACGGAGTCTACATTCCGTTATGTCAAAGGAGATTACTGATGTTTATGATAGCATGATTGATGGACAGGATATACTGACTTGGGGTAAAGAGTAATAACATCAAAGAATGAGAGTGCCCATGATGATTACCAGATTTTCGTGGAGAGACTTGTAACAGAGTGTATATATATAGAGAGAGTGGATCTTTGTTCTGGAGTTCGGAGATGGTAGAGGCAAAGCTCTGTCCTTCTGTTATAACTAACCATGTTACCATATTAAATATCTAATATGAACTCCCCATCGAAAGTGTCTAAGTACATCCTTACATTCATAATCACTTGATACCCTAGAAACTCATAACACCCCTTTTCCATTGGGAAGTGTGAGGTCAATTTCATCCCTGGGCGATGACGACACAGGCTCTGAATTATCAGCAGCCCCGTCTTACGCCACAGCCTCTCTGCGCTCTGACTTTCCAGGGCTCATCGAGAGGGCTGCTAAGCGCCTGGAGATTAGGCTGCCCCCTGTTCCCTCCAACCCGGAAGTGGACATGGAGGGCGGCCCCTATTCTCGGCCTAGGAGGGCGGCGGTACCTTTGGCTCCGACCATGCCCTCGCTCAACAAATACATTGAGGGCTCATGGGAGGCACCCTTGGCGGTGAGTGCGCCGGCCAAGGCGTATCTCCCATTCACTAGAGTGGAAGGGAGACAGTAGGGCTTTTCTAAGGGAATCCCCAGGCTCGAGAGCGCCATGGCTGCGTACCTCGTGCCGGGTTCGTGTTCCTGGCCCTCGTCCAAAAAAGCCACTCTGCCTTCACAGAAGGACCGGCTCACAGCACAGCTGCTGGATAAGTCCTTCGTGTTGGGAGCCCAGGCTGTAGCAGCAGCAAACAACATTGCCCTCCTCGCAGCCTCTCTGTCCCGTCTAACCACGGGTAAGTCTGAGCTCTCAGGGGAGGAGGTGGAAGAGGCGTCCAGGATTTCTGGCGCCATTCTCCACCTGACGCAGGCGTCGGCCGTTTGTGCGGGGAGGTCCATGGCCACTTCGGTGGTCAAGGAGCGACACCTCTGGCTGTCTCTGACGGCCATGAAAGAGGCCGATTGAGCGTCACTCTTGAATGCCCCCATCTCTGACGACGGCCTGTTTGGGGTCGCCGTCAAGGATGCAACGGAGCGTTTCATCAAGCTTGACGAGGAGAGGAAGCATCTGGCCAGACACCTGCCACTGGAAGGGAGATCTGGCTCTGCGCCACGGAAACCGTCAACTTACGCCGCCTCTAGTAGACCTAGGTCTACTGCGAGGCGTCGTGCCCGGCATCAGACGGCAGCCTCCAGCAGCAGGGGAGAGGGCTCCGCCCCTCCGGCAGCGCCAGAGGTTCCGACCATTCCGTCGGCGAGAGAGGTCATCAGCACGTCGTCATGGCATCACCCGAAGGGCGGCCAGAAGAGACAGCGTTTATGACATGGCGAGGGGGAGATAATGGGAGATGGCACAGCGCCTGGTTCGCCTGTGCCCACTATTCCCCCCCACCCTTCTGTTGAGGGTATGGAGGAAACTGTGTTTTTTGGTGCATGTAATAAAGAGTTGGCTCCAATTGACTTTGTCACAAGAGAGTCCCTTTTCCATGATACATCCGATAATGTTCAGGTTCCTTCACTCTCTCTCACACCACTCTGAGTGTAGCACAGCCCACCAAGGGTGCGTAGCTGAGCACACACGAGGCAGGTGTAAGTAAGGTAACAAGGCGCCGCCTTGCTATACCTCATAAAAACCTCACACCACAGACTCCTAGGAGTGTTGTAGTGAAGGTTTCACATAGCAGACTGCGTACACAGCCAGGTAATGGAATGATGATGCAATCGCTATTGAGAGATGGCGCTCTGACTCAGGCTAGCGCCTCAGTCAGTGCAGTTCAGACCCGTGCTGGGATAACGAGGTTACGAGTATAACCAACGTATCGGCGCCCCCGTTTCTCTCAGAACACACTCATGTTTCCTCTCCCTTTCATGGGAGGCTCGCCTTGGGCTGTTCCACCACTTCAGTGTTGGGGAACAGCGGCGGCAAGGGCCGTCGAGGAATACAGGTCCTTCCTACTGAATGCACCACAGCTTCGCGCTCTTCCGCTTTCTCAGCATTATTGGGAGTGGCGACGAAGCAGTACCCTCTCCCGCTGGCTAGACCAGACGCTGGAGAAGGGTTATGCCATCCAATTTCATCAGATCCCCCCCCCTATTCAGGGGTGTGGTAGAGACAGTGATGAAAACGCCGGAAAAAGTAGCCGCTCTTGTAACAGAGATTACGGAACTTTTTGCGAAGGAGGCGGTCACAGTAGTTCCCTGGGAGCAAAGGAACAGGGGGCTCTATTCGCCCTACTTCCTGGTGCCCAAAAAGACGGGGGGAATGAGGCCAATATTGGATTTACGCGTTCTCAATGAGAGCGTAACCAAACGGCCCTTTCGAATGCTAACGACAAAACGTCTACTGGAATGTGTCCAGAAGGGAGAATTTTGTATGAGCATAGACCTGAAGGACGCGTACTTTCATGTGCCGGTGTAGCCGCATCACAGGAAGTTTCTGCGTTTCGCCTTTCAAGGGGTGGTGTACGAATTCGCAAGGATGCCATTCGGGTACGCCCTGGCACCTCGCACGTTTTCCAAATGTGTGGAGGTGGCAATAGAACCGTTGCGTCGTCAGGGAATAAGGCTGTTAGCCTACCTAGACGATTTACTGGTTCTCGCCCCGTCAGCAGAGCTGGTGATCACACATACGACACAGACAGTGATTAATTTCACGCGTCTGGGGTTCGCTGTGAATTGGAAAAAGAGTGCACCCTGGCCCAGTCATCAGATTGTCTACTGTGACGATGAGGGCTCGAATTTCGGATCCTCGATGGGCTGCGCTGTTGCTAGCCCTACGAAGGTTTCAGCCGAATCACACGGTAACGGCGCTTTCGGTCATGTCACTCTTGGGTCTCATGTCGTTGGCCCATATCGTGGTTCAGAGTGGGACTCTTGCACATGCGCAGGATACAGCGATGGTTCGCTCAACTACGACTAGACCCAGTGCATCAACATCGTCGGTTGTTGGTGGTTCCACTCTCGCTCAGAGCAGATCTGAACTATTGGAGAGACCCATGCGTTCTCACGCACAGAGTCCCGATAGGCAGAGTGTCCTCCTACATTCCAGTGTTTACAGATGCCTCTCTGACTGGATGGGGAGGGACATGTCAGACCCAAGCGATAGGAGGTGTGTGGCTTCTTTTGAGTCGCCACATAAACCTCTTGGAGTTGGAAACGGTTCTACTGGTTCTGACCCACTTCGCGTCTACCCCACGGGGTCGTGATGTGCTGGTCTGGTCAAACAACCGAACCACAGTACCCTACATCAATCGCCAGGGAGGAGTCAGGTCTCCTGCACTCCACCGGTCGGCGGAGGAATTGTGGCTGTGGGCTCACAAGCACACTCGCTCGTTGAGAGCAGCACACATTCTAGGCTACTTGAACGTAGGGGCAGACATCATGTCTCGAGGGGGTCCTCGGGACGAGAATTTGTTCTCCAAATTTGGGAACGGTTCGGGAGAGCCGAGGTGGATCTGTTCGCGTCACGTGTGAACGCGCATTGCCCTCTCTGGTTCTCTCTTCGAGCTCAGGACGAACCGCCACTGGGGACGGACGCATTTGCGCACCGACCGTGGCCGAAAGTTCTCCTGTACGCATTTCCACTGCTGTCCTGCATTCTCCCACTGTTAGCCAGGGTGAGATCAGGCGGGCTGTCAATCATATTGGTGGCTCCCGAATGCCCAGGGGCTCCATGGTTCGCGGAGATGATTCAGATGTTGATTGCACCACCTTGGCCAATTCCACATCAACGGGACGCGCTGTCTCAGGCGGGAGGCGCGATAGGGCAATTGCCCATAATCGGCCAACCACTGACGGTTTGGCACCTGAGAGGGACAGGCTAGAGCGCCGTGGGTTATCTGATTCAGTAATCAGAACCATACAGGGTTCACGTGCCAGTCCCACTTACAGGGTTTATGCCAGTAAATGGAACGTGTTTTCACAGTGGTGTGTCATAGAGAATGTGGAGCCCGTGTGCTGTCGGGTTGAGAGTGTACTCTCGTTCCTACAGTTTTTATTTGATAAGCAGCGATCGCCCGCCACCATTAAAGTGTTTGCAGCTGCGATTTCGG